CTCAGTTTCCCGAGTAGAGAATAGTTTAAATGACATTACCTTCACGGTAAAATATGTGCAAGAAACTATGTTAAAATTGAACACACAATCCTCTCCTGGACCTGACAAACTACCAAGTAGCATTCTCAAACACTGTGTAAAGGTCTTAGCTCCCACTTTGACAGAACTAATGAATATCTCTGAATCTTTCAAAATGGGATATTTGCCTCAAGTTTGGAAGCACACTATAGTTATGTAGATTTTAAGACTTTCGTGGTTATTCACTAAATGATTATCACTAATATCAGGTTTCTTACCACGGTATGATGATCACATGATTACGGGTTGACTCAACCCGTGACCATGGAGCGTGCAACCGTTCCGAAATATCGGGAAAATAAAAAGAAGTCATACCGTGGTAAGAAACCTGATATTAGTGATAACGCTATAGTTATTCCTATTTATAAAAAAGGAGACAAGACTCAGCCTGGAAATTTTCGTCCCATAAGTCTCACCAGTGTTGTGATCAATATTATGTAAAGAATTATTTGTGATCGACTAAATCAGTTTTTGAATCGGGAATGTATAGTATCAACCAAACAACATGGATTTTACGAAAAAGATCAACTGTTACAAACTTGTTAACATGTGTTATGTAGAGCAAAGAACTTGATAATAAGAACCCGGTGGATGTAGTGTACCTGGACTTTGAACGTGCTTTTGATAAAGTTCCGCATCAGCGCCTCTTAATGAAGCTAGATCACTTCGGTGTACGTGGGACTCTACTTAATTGGATAGACAATTATCTTAAAAATAGAACATTCCAGGTACGTGTCGGTAACTCCATGTCGCAACTAGAGCGGGTACTGAGCGGGGTACCGCAGGGATCAGTGCTCGCTCCCCATCGATTTGGAATATATGTAACAGATCTAGTTGAGCTCATAGATTCTAATTGTGCCTTTTTTGCTGATGGTGGAATTTTTTTTGCAAATCCACTTATAAACTCTGGACAACTTCAAAAAAAACTAAATCTTATACAAGACTGGACCGAAGATTTGATTATCAAATTGAATGCATCAAAATTATAATGCAACAAAAAGTAGCATTTTGTATCTTGGTAGCAATAACCCCAAAGTCACACACAACTTGCATGGAAATACCTTAGCCGCAGTCAACATTCAAAAATATCTTGGAGTCATTTTCGCATTCAATTTAAAGTGGGGTGAGCATATCACTACAATAGTCAAGAAAGCTAACTTCTATATCTATGTCATACGCAGATCGTTCCAAACAATGACAGTAGACGTGTTTCTCAAAATCTATAAGACCTATATACGGCCACTGCTGGAATATGGATATCAAGTGTGGAGCCCTTATTTCCAAAAAGACGTAAACCTTCTTGTTAACGTTCAGAGGAAGGCAACTAAAATGCCACAGGCTCTTCGACGCAAATCCTATGAGGAGAGACTACACGTATTACACCTCACTACTCTGGGAGAAAGACGCATTCGTGGTGACCTCATCGAGACTTATAAAATTCTGATGAATCAGTACAATCTACCAGCAATACAAAACATCTTTAACCGGAAGATGTTGTTTCTGCTGTCTCTGTTAATGCCTTCAAAAACAAGCTCGACAACTTGCTACGAAAGAGTGAATTAGTGCTAAAAAGTGAACTAAAACAACGATATAAATTTAAACACTGTGTGATGTAGACACTAATCCACTAAGGAAACCCTGTATAGCGGGTGCCATGGACACTTAGACAACCACTAAATTACACCCAAACTCACGAGAGAAATAAATGCAGGCCATACGAATATTTCTCCCGGTCCGGGAATCGAACCCGGAACCTCTGCGTGGCAGTCCAGCGTGATAACCGTTCGGCCACGGAGGCAGTTAAATGTGATGATGCTTGTTTCCGTATTTTGAATTACTTATTTTTACTGGTGCACCTTAGGGACCAGGCAGAATCTGCGTCGTGATTCTGCTGAATTGCGGTATAATGCTGGTATCACAGATATATGACAGTTTCTACGGTTGGTAGAGGCCTTTTTGCTGACACAGTACACTCAACTCTACACCACAACATAATCTAACACTGCAGACCATATTTTCAAACCTAGACTGGCCTTTATTTATTTTTACTATCGCATCTACGCCATAAGCTTGTTTGTAATGTACTGTGATGCAGCAAACAAAACTGAATTTGATTTCGACTTATCTATCTATAAACAATATTAGCTACTTTTGTAAGAAGTGTTCATAGGTCTTTTAATACAGAGCGCGATTCGAGTGCGGCGTAAAGGGAATGGATTCTTCAACAATACCGCAGCTCCGTTCTATTTTCCTAATGAAGTGTACCATGACGAAGTAGCTCGTAAAACAAACTAATATATTAAGCAAACACTGACATTATGGTTCTGTTTTCATACAAAAGCTTTGGCACATTTGCGTCTAAACTTTAGTATATTCCACTAAAATATTGAGCAAATAATATGAGCAATTACAATTTATACTGTTTTAATTGGCGTTAATGTAAAGTTCACTTAAGATTAATGGTTTTTAAGTTTTCTCTCAATTTTATTTTTATGTTATCCTATATTATGCCACCTAGCTTTTATATGATGATGAATTTGTGTGATGTGTGCAAAGCTAGCATCAATTAGACATGTGTATTGATCGTGAAATCACGGGTGGTGGCGTCTGATGGTATTTTGGATCGTCGTGAAATTGACGTGGCATATATTTTTCGTATCAAAAAAAAAACAAAAAACTTTGTTATAATTATTAATAGAAAGATCGAATAAAAAAATCAGCAGTGATTCCCGAACTTATTCCTTCTTATTTACTCCCTAGCAAATACCTTGTATTATATATTAAAGCCTACTTGGTTGTACGATTTAGTTTCGGATAGCCCAAAATGGCCGGCCAACCATGCGGGTAATGCAAACGACGACATCCAGTACTAAAATCACTTCATTCTGTCCTCTCTGATGAGACAATTGCCCGTAGGTAGGTAAATAAATAAAGTACACAATTTATATTTAATCTATTCATTGCATAATAAAATTTATTATTATTTTATTATTGTATAAATTACCTACTTTAAAATCAAACTTTCGAAACGCGACGCTGAAAGCAAGTGTTGCTATTTGAATATTTTACAGCAAATACTAATTACAAAGACGAACGTCTACGAGTAAATACCCATTTTTCGGGCTGGCGGAGGGCTTGGCCCGGACGATCTTGAGATTGCTGACTCGGTCTGTAGTTTAGTGGGTAAGAGTGGTAGCCACGGTTAGGCAACGGATGCTGGTTCGAATCCAATTAGATCGAAGGAATTTTTCTTTGTGGTTGTTCGATTTTTGTATCAATAATAATAACAAACTAATGGAGTATTTTTACAAAAAATATATATGACTATCATGGTAATAAAGATATTATGATATGCAATAAAATAAACTAAAATATACTTGGTTTGTATTCGTGGAATCACGGTAAACACTGTAGTTTGTAGTGATGTGTTGAAATTTGGAGAAGGGTAATTGAAATGTAAATGTTTAATCCACATCCACATGATGGTTTTGGTTGGTGGTTAAGTACTTTGAGTACTACAACTTTTAATACAAGCGTTTTATTCATATTTGTCCGTCCTGACCAGAAGTAAAAAAGTTATGCCTTTCCTCCACAAAGGGTGCCGATATTTAAACGAAAGTAAGGGTGTCGGACGTTTCGATGACGTCATCGAATACAGTCAAAGCATAAGTTCCAGTTTGGATCTCCCGGTCTCTCGGAGCATATAATAGTCACATCATTATTTACTTTATTTAGTCCGTCGTACATATAATTTGAAAAAAATAAGGTATTCATCTCAGTATCCTCGTGCAATATTGAAATAACCTTAGTCAAATGCAATACGAACTCACCAGCATCGTGGATTGTTATCTCGATTCTTGGAGTATGATTATGATATACAAATGAAATGCTGAATAATTCTGAATTCAAGACACTCTTGTTAAAGAACCATAAGCACAACAATAAACACGTCTACTATTTGATGTAATTTTTTAAACATTAGCGAACGCTTCAATTTTATAATGTATGAATGTATATAGTAGCAGTAGAACTCCTTGTGAAAGAGTTCGTCCAGGGAAGTACCACCACCTTACCTATTTCTGCCGCCAAGCAGTAACGTCAGTATTACTGTGTTCCGTTTTGAAGGGTAAGGGTGAAATTACAGGCACATGGGACTTTTCAACTTATGTCTCAGGTTGGGGCGTAGAGGCAGTGCATGTCAGATCATTGCGATTTAAAGCTCTGAGTGGCACTGCACCTGTTATGGACAGGCGTATCATTTACCACCAGGCACCCAATTTGTCTGTCCCATTACTTAGTACCCTATAAAAATATGGGTATGCACGTGCAATGACCTACGCCGTGCGACTCGAGAGCACCGCGAGATTATTAGAATGTGTGCGCTCGTAAACGGCCGGCGGCGAGCGCGCACACTTACAAGCCGCGCTACTACGTGTGTATGGAATTATACTATTTGTCTTATTATACTATGCTTTTGATTACCTGAGGTAAGTGTATGACCATTGACAGGACGGCACGGCAAGGGATTTATAGGTAAAGAATAGTATTTGTGTTTTCAACGCTACCAATGGCGGCGACAGAAGAGCCCCTACATTATAGAATAGTGACACCTCCACAACATTCGTCTACTCCCCGCGAGGGGGTGCAGCGAGTGACGCCGGCTGTGACGCGACGGGTGACGTGGCCCGTAGCTTCCAACGTTCCAGAAGGCACTCTTTCATATTTCATCGAAGACACCGAGGTGGTGTCTTTGATGATCGTTCGTTTATTACAATTGTCTTTCGGTCGTCATATGGTATTTAAATTATGTAAAGGATCGCATTAAATATCCTAAATGCAAATGAAATAAATCACTTCATTGAAGCGTCTCACCTGTCCCGAAGCTTGTTATACACGCAACTCAACAACAAATAGTAACATACCTTCACGGTTGTAGCTACAAAAACGAAGCGCGGTAAGCTTAGGGATACCGAGCCGGCAGCCTCTGGAACGCCTAGGCAGCCTTCGGGATGTTTCGGCAGGTTTTTTTGATCTGATAGAGGTTAGGCGCAAGCATGACGTTGCGATGGTATGCTTAGGCATGCCTAAGGATACCGCTGCATATTTGCCGTCTGTGTGCGTTTTCATATGGGTAGGGATGCCAAAGGATCCTTCACTATACCATTCTGCCAATAGGCACCGGGCCTAATTGAGCAATTAATAACAGGTAACTAATCAGGACTACTAGGCGGCTGACAGTAAAGGCAGTGCAGTTCATCAAGCGATGAAACAAGATTTAACTCGCGTCGCCGCCAAGCCAAGTTCTCCAGGTATATTATTAAGTTAGCAACTTTAAATGCGCGGCATTTATGAAACTGTCTAGTGGTCGCAAAGTTTTGTTAATCAGAATGTCGGAGCGAAAACTAGTTTAGTTTCTCTCTAGTTTAGCCACCTCGATCCCTTGTCATGGACTCGCCGGAATATTTTCAAATTATTCTATTTGCATAGGTTAATTGCCCTTTTACGTTTCATTGTGGCACTTAACTGTTTAATTAAATTGTGGAGGGTGCAGGGTTTAATGCCCAATGTTGATAAAATGTTGTAGATCAATTTTGTAACTGTTCAACTTATAACTAGAACCTTGCGGACAGAGATTTTATGAGGTATATTTAATAGCAAGCATATTTATTTAACTGTTACTAGTGCATTATTCAATTTTAATACTAAGTATGAAAACAACGGCTCTTTACCGTTACCTAGGGAGATGACATTGGAATCAGTGAGACATAGAAATTTTATGGAGTGTACGCATGCGAGTTTTAAGTTATTCCAGCGCACCGCTCATTATGCATTGTTCTATAAATATTTACTCATCTGTAGATATTATTAGACTATAAAAGTAAATTGTGTATAATTATAAAAACTGTATCAAACATAAGTGTGTAAACGGTTTTTGGTAATGTAGAGTTCTATAATCTCAGCGTTTTTATTAAGGTGGGTATCCATTACGTTCGCGCACCAACTATGCTCCATGCATCTGCAACCGCTCTAATGGAGACGTTACGCGCATTACTACAAGAAAAGCGAGTGCTCCATACTTTCGCACATCGACTCTACTCCGCGCATGCAACTGCACCACATTTTTCATTTGAATATTAAGCGAACATGTCGTCCTCAGAATTAGTAGCTAGAATGCGGCATACATTTTAATTGATTGTATTTTTCCATAGCTAAATGATATTTCTCTTCGGACCACTTCATAGCGAAAAATGCAGTTGCTCAAAAGATCTTAGCGGAGAGCGGAGCGTGACACTCGAAAACAGTGCCCGAAAATGTCTTGCTTGCTCGCGTCTACAGTCAGTTGCAGTCGTCAGTTGCAGGTGCGGGGAGCACAGTCGGTGCGCGAACGTAATGGATAGCTTTGCATGCGTTGGGGAATAGTAACATTACTGCAGAGGCCGGGAAGTAAGGGATTGCTGGACGAGTATGAGTTACAAGGTCGAGTGCCAGCGAGGCCTTGTATTAATACGAGTCAAGCAATCCCCGTTCCCGCCGAGGCATGTATAGAATTCTTCTCAAACAATGCAAGGAAATAATAAAAGACTAAAGAGAGGAAGATGTATAATAGAAAAAGTAAACAAAATATTCATTACCATTAAAATTTGTACAATGCAACTGCTAAAAGAAAATGTTATTGTTTATCCAGACATTAATAGTAGTCTGCTGAACTTCTGATGTGTTTGAAGGTATATCTTATTACTATATTTTCGTTATCGCTCTTCTCACTAGCACTTATTTTCGCGACCAAAATACAAAATAGACGTAAAAACAAAAGAATGCCAAAACACTTTACTTAGTGTTACCGCCATTTTTTTTAAAGTAAGCGGTATCTACATGTTGGTATTTTAAATTCTCGTAGTTATATACACTGGGCAGTTGGCTCTATGAGTTTACATAATTCATTATTAGTATTAGTAAGTAGATTTAAAAGTTTACAAAAGAGGACAGTAATGGATTTTCATACTTACTTTGCAAGCCTTGGCCAGGAAGAAGTCGCTCGGTCCATAAATAAATGACAAACTTTCCATGTTCGCTTTTTCAAAGTAA